AAAAGACTTGTGAGTGGCTCTGTTGAAGAAGAGTTCAAAGACCTAGATTTGGTTTATTAAGTACACACACATACACACACACACTCACACACACACACACACACACACACACACACACACACACACACCATATATCATCAAGCTAAATTCTCAGCCTCTCCCTGTAGCACAAAATTTCACATTCAATAATTGCCTTAAATACTTCCAGGATGCCCACCTGAAATGCACCCTTTAGCAATAACAAAAAAAAAAAAAAAAAGGCTACAATGACATTTAGTCTGATGCTCTTCACATTCAGAAGACGATTATTAGCTAGATTTAGGATTAGTATTAAATTTAAAAAATCTAATACACACGATTACATGTGAAATTACTTTTATTTAATTTCATTGTCACTTGAATGCTGAGAACAGTTTCTGTCCACAAGAACAACTCAAGACACTACTTGGAAGGAAAGCTGATGTCTTTTAAAGCAAGATCTGCAAGGTGATGTAAAGAGGAGGAAATACAATGCCAGATATAGGTGATGGGGGGATGGAGGCAACAAACTACATTGCCACGTATGTACCTATGCAACAATCCTGCATGATCTGTACATGTGCCCCAGAATCTAAAGTACAATTAAAAAAGGAGGAAATACATAAAATGCAAAAATCAGAGGTCAGGAAGGCACATGAAACATAAGAAAACAGAGTCATAGATTGTTCACTGACTCCATATCCCATTGAGTGATTAAGTGACCAATGCCTAACCACGTTGGTCCTTTAACCAATTACAAAGGAGAAGCTTAGGTTAAAGGAAAACACTTCCCCATGGTCAAAATCTAATAGTAAGAACATTCTGGAAATTTTTAGATGTTTACATAGGAAAGGAAGCATTAAGAATGATTCGGACATAGATCTGGATACTAAATCACAAGGTAGGATATTTCCTTCAGATCCTCTCTAGGCTGATAAGATGTGTGTGCGTCTGTGATGGGAGTAGGAAAAAGAGAACAAGAATGAGAATATATGAAAGTGTATACTATTAGACAAATACATTAGGCATACATAGATCTATTTTTATAAAAGTTCTGTATAACTTCCTTTTCATTTAAATGTATGTACGTATTTGACAACATTTCATATCAATAAAGATACATTTATGTAACTTCCATTCCCAACCAGGTACATCCTATACTATTGTAATTTTATCTATTACTAAATACATGCATTAATTAGCTTATAGTTTAATCTTAAGCCTGACTTACCACAGGATGTCTACTCACAGTATTTTTGTATATACTTTCCAGATATATTTTATGTGTGTCTATATATAATTCAAAAACTGTATGTTCACATGTGCAAATACATTTTTGTTCAAAATTGATTCACATTATACATACTACTATTGTCTGTATGTTTCCCAAAATTCATGTGTTGAAACTTAATTGTCAATGTAGTAGTATTAAGTAGCAGTGCCTTTGTAATTATTTGTATATCTCGACGTGTCTACTCATTTGTCTCTAATTTTAGTATTTCTGAACAACTTTGGATGTTTGCCATTGCTTCTTACTTTTGAATCATTTGTTAATAAAATTAAATATTACTGTTCTATCTAGTCATATTCATTCCTATGTCAATCATATTTGTTATATGCTATTAAATTATGTTTGGATTATTTCTCCCATTTTCTGATGCCTTTAAATGTATTGTGTTTGTTGATAATGGCTTTTTAATTTCCCCATATTATTCCAAATGAGATATATTATATTTCACTGTAAATATAGTGAAATGACCACTGGTATGCTTTTGTTTTTTGCTGGTTTCTCACATATGCAAAAATATTCTCCTTTATTTCTTTTTAGCGCCTCTGCCTGTACCTTAGACCCAGCTTCCCTCTCTTACTTCCACCCTTGTTTTCTTTCTATGATTAGGGGGATTGGTAGTTGAAGTTCATTGCAATTAATACAGTCTCCTCCCTGTGGGTCAATGATATAAACGGACCATTTTAATCAGTAAGTAAAGAACCATGGAGAAGTTACTTACACTCATGAAACTGAGTTTTGCATTTTTAAATGGAATTAATGAGCTCAATATAACATCACTGTTGTGAGAAGACTGAGAAATTCTAGGAAACATCTGGCCCATAGCAGGCTTTCCTTAATTGCTACTCTCTGCTATATTCTACCTCCTCTTTCCTGTGAGATAAATTAACTTGGCATTCACTTAATAACATTACTGTCTTAGAGAGCAATGATAAGTATAAGACAAGGAAAAGGAAGTGTGTGCTTATTGTCATAGTGCATGACTGAGGTTTGGTGGCATTTTCATGCTATAGCATGTCACCAAATGCAGTTAAAGGATGGGGAGAAAATTAACTAATTATTTTATTTTGTACGTTATCCTACCACTTCTTTTTGCTGTTAAAATGGCAGAGACAGAATTTTTCATAGATTCCAAGAAGGAAGAATTCCATAATTTAATATATATGTGTTGACTGATATAGTTGTTACTGTCAGACAGGTCCAGAAACTGAGAAAACCACAGGTATTCCCACAGATCCTCCAAAACCTTTGAGTACAGGACTTACAGAGGAATAATTGGGCCATGAAAAAATTTATTTTTATATCTGCTGGATTCCACATAAAGAATGGCTTTTATTTCCTTTCTATTTAAAAAATATTATATGAATACCTTTCACTGGTGATACCTAAACCATATTCAGAATTCTGCTGGACAAGAAGTTTAGGACATGTAATTCATAGGATTCCAGCTTCTGCAACAAGGGAGAGAACATAGGAGAGGATGGGAAAGCTTCCAAGCGCCAGATGACCATATCTGCAAGTCTCCTGGATTCTACTCTTTAACCTATCTAATTCTTTTAAGCACCTGATATTCTACATTAAATATTTTCTGGTTGAAATACCTAGTGTAATTTCTTTTTTTCTGACTGAATCTTGAGTGATGCCCACTCCCCAAGAGATTCTGATTGAATATTTCTTACATAAGTGGGCTGTGATTCATATTTTGAAAAACAATGTTTTTGAGCAACCCCCCACCATATCAGAAGGAATAAAATCAAACCCCATTTTTATGCTTGCCTTGTCCTACTAGACTATTTCTTGTGTCTGGTCTATCCAGTAATCTCCTTGATGAGTAAAAGTTGATCTAACTTACAGAAGGACAAGATAGAAGACTAGAGAAACTACACATTGACTCAGGTAATCTTGGATAAATTATTGAACCACAAAAACAACATAAAGGGAAGCGCTTAAGAGCCTAGCACTCCATGTCTCTCTAATTGGTTATTAGCACTAGCCAACCATCGCCATTCAGGAATGCACAGCCAGTACTGTCAAATCTTCATGTTGTTAAGATATTTTTTTTTTTGGCATGAAATACCCTTTTCGAATATTGATGAGGACATGAATATACAATTGTGTATGTAGAAGAAAACGTATGATAAGCCAGATCTAGGAAATTAGAGACCTGGGCCTAGGGATCCCTGCCTTTCAACTTCTGTCCCAGGACTTTACTGGGCTGGAGCATGAGTCATCGAAAATAAGACACTGTCTTTTGTCTCAAATGGTCCCAGGTTATTGCGAAGTACAAAGTATATAACTCATTACAACAAAACTATGCACCAGATACAGGTTTAGCACAGATGATGGTGAAATTAACTCTAAGGAAGGACAGAACAGGTAACCTGGTGAGGCGATGTGTTGTCTGGGTTTCTAGGGGTGTATAGGATTTCATTAGTCAAGTGCCTAACGTGGGGAAAAAGGTGTTTCAGGAAGAGGGAAGAACATATACAATAACATTGCACCATGAAATAACATGATCTTCACAGGAATCTAAGAAGATTTTTAGGCCCAGGTCTTTGTTGAATCAAAGTAAAAGCAGAGAGGAGAGATGGGAACAGTGGAAAGAGATTAGGTCAAAGAGGTGAGTGGGAAAACTAATAGTGCAAAACTGTGTCTTTTGACTTTATTCAATAAGCACTGGACAGCCAATAATGACTGGCAGCAATATGGTAATAGATTGGAGGGATTGAGATAAAAGGAAATAAGACCAGTGGGATAGATGCCATACTTCTGACTAAACATCATGAGGACTTGAAATACAGCAATGGAAGTAAGACTGGAAGGGAGAGAATACTTAAGGAAGACTTGCACAAGTGCACCAGGAGGTGTGCCCATCAATAACGAAAAGAGTGATCTATTGCACAGCATTGACAGTGAATAACTACAGCTACAAGCAACAACATGGATGAATCTTAGAAACAAAATGTTGAGTGAAAGAAACAAGTTCCAGGCCAAGCGTGATGGCTCCTTCCTCCGATCCCAGCTACTTCAGAGGGTGAGGTGGGAGTATTGCTTCAGGGGAAAAAAAAGCAGAAACAAGTCCCAGAATGCTACCTAGAAAAAGATGTAAAATTCTGTGAAAATTGAAAACAAAGCTAAACAACACTATTTAGGCGCATATCTATGTGATAAGAATATATGTTAAAGTGCAAGGAAATAATAAATATAAATCATGGTATTGGTTTCTTTGAGAGGGGAGGTTGGGGGACAAGATGAGATTTAAATTATCAGTAATATTCCAGTTCTTCTATTGGGTGCTGAATTCACAGGAATTTATTGTAATTAAGATGGACAGATTGCTAGGTAAGCTGTCCTTTAAGAGGCCAAGAAAACTATGTATCAGGACGAAAGATTCTATTCTATTATCTGTACTAAGTGCTTTTAGAAAACCAGGTGAAAATATATTTCAGAGATATTTTGGAGGAGGGGTCAATAGGTTTCCAGACATTTTTTTCCTCTTAAATTGGTTTTAGATTAGCTCTCCAAAGCAGCATCACTGTGCGAGGCCCACGTGCTATTACATCCCGCGCTTTTTGCCCTTTGCCCTTGGCTGTCATTGCTTCCTCTCCAAAGGGAGGTGGGGTGACGCCAAGCAGTGGGGGAGGGGAAAACGGCCTGTGGCTCTAAAGCTCTCCGATTGGTGGACCGAGGACCCAGAACGAGGCTCGAGCTGAAGCGTCAAAAAGAGGGGCAAAGGGGGTGGGGCTAACGGAAGGCGGGGCTAAAGAAGCTTAACGGAATCCAGACGCAAGTGCAATTGTCCGCGCGCCTCGCTGCGATGGCGGCGGCGCCGAACACAGTCACCCCGCCGGCGGCGGAGTCTTCCCCTCAGGAAGCTACCGTCTCTGCCGCCTCCTCCTCCTCCTACACCGCCTGCGCGGCGGCGGCGGCGGCGGCGGCGGCGGCAGTAATTGTTCCTGCCTCCTCCGCCACCTCCACCCCTGCCTGCCCGCCTGCCGGTGGCTTTAGCGACGGCGGCGGCGGCGGCTTTGGCGGCTCCACAATGGCGGCGGCGGGGAGGGGGGGCAGTAGTTTTAAAGTAGACACCCGCCCTTGCCTCAGAGAAGGTGAGTTCCCGTCCCGGGGTGCGGGGGCGGCCCCATCTCCTTCGCTGCCTCTCTTCAACCCCTCCGAGATCGGGCTGGGCGCGGTTCGCCACTGCCCCACCCCCCACCTGCCGTGGCGCAGTAAAGGCCAAACTCGCCCCGCCCCGCCCCGCCGTGTTGGCCCCTAGTGTGCAAGATGGACTGAAGCCGAGAGGGCCTTCCCTACCTCTCCCACTCGTAAAGGATGGGGGTCCCAAGGCAAAAGAATTGCAGGTACTCAAGAGGCAGGAGTTGAAGGGGAAAAAAAATACCACATAATTTCTCTCCCAGCCAGGACACCTTAGTGTGCTATAGGAAGCTGAGGTGTGATTTTGAAGAGAGAGGAGGCAAGGTAGAAGTGCTGTGGACCAAGAGAGTCAAGGATAAGGGAAGGGGGACCGATGGAGAAAGGGGGGGGGATAAAAGAGGAAAGGCCAAAGAAATAAAGGGGAGTAAACCCCGTTTGGTGAAATTCAACGTCCTGCAGTGTAGAAACTCAAAGTCGAATATTTACAGAGAGGTGATGTTAGAAATTTGGGCAGGTTAGAAGTGTATACTTGAGCTTTAAAGTAAGCTATGCCGGATTTAGGAAGGTAAGGTCTAATGGAAGGGACTCTACTGGGGAAAGAAGAGAAGAAGAGAGTGTGGCAAAAGCACAGATTTCAGGAATCACTTTGGAGAGTTTTCTTTGGCTATTTGAGGATGTGACCTAGTAAAGCAAGGTTTACAGGCCCATCTTTAAGGTGGTTTGGGTTTTAATAAGCTCTGTTGTACCTACCAACACATATTACTCCTAACATAAAAGATATTTCTTGACTATATCAATATAAGCGGTATTCACACAAAGTTCTGTATACTTGTAAACAGCCTACTAATAGCAAACTGTAAAATTTGCCATTGAAATGTGTTTTAAAGCAGTTTGGGAAATGTTCTTAGCTGATGGAGACCATTCCACAACAGAGCATCCCAGTAAAGCATTTTGCCATCGTAAATTTCTTATATTTGCCGTGTTACCTTATGTTGCTAGCTTGCCTCCAAAGTAAAAGATTGTGGACATCAAAATAGAGAAACATAAGTTCCTTTCTCTTAGAAAGATGCCCCATTAAAAATTTCCCATAAAAATAATCATCATATATCCCTGTGTGCTATCCCATAACCTTTCACACCTTTCACTTTGGAGGACTGGCAAAGTAGAAAAAAAATCCCTTACAATATTTGTATAGGCACATTACATAAATGCCACTTATTAAATATGGAAGCTAGAAATACACTGTAATGTTTTATCAACTCTCTTACTAAAAGCAACCTTTGAAAGACTTAGTCTAGTGTCTTCAGTCAGCCTCAGTGGATGAAAACATGAACTCTGGATTTTTAATTTTTATATCAGACTTTATGTCCATAACCAGCTAGTAGGCAAGAACAGTTTTATAGGCATCAATATCACAGTTCAATTTGGCTATTATTGTCTGTTCAGAGTAAGGTTTAAGACCAGTATCTCCTGGGGAAAAAATGGCTTTTTTCCTGGTGGTGTAACTGGTTTGTTTGCAGTATCTTTAAATATATGCAAATATTTAAGGCTTTCAGAGAGCTAATTTTATAAAGTAGCAGCAATACCTTATCTATATTATTGCTAGACAGTAAAATGAGGAGCACCCTGGCATAGGAGTCTGATGCAGTTAACATAGGTTCAGCTGCCAATTAATTCACTAGACTTTGTGGCCCTGAACAGGCCCCGCCCCCTCGATTTGGGTTTTGACATTTTTGAAATAAGGGAATAGAACTACCCACACTCCGAGGGTTGATTTCACATCTGAAAGTATCAACCATGATTTTGCAGTTCTGGATTGATATTCTTTCAATGACATTTCCATGGTTGTGTGCTCGTACAATAACTCATAAATCATAACAAACCTTGTCTGATAGTTATCACCTGACATTCATTGAGTAATGAGATCTATGTTGAGTTAGTGTTGAGACAATTTACTAGCATATGAAAAACCAAATATAATTGTTAACCTGAAAATTATCTCTTACCATTTCATTTTAGCTAAATATCCTTCATTCACTGTTCAGTCCAAACTAAAACTCTCTCACCTTTTCACTTAACAAATGGCAAATATTTTATATATTGCACTGTTCAAAACACTATTACGCCTCAAAAATTTTTGTTTAGATATTTGTGAAGGCCATAATGGTTGTCAGTTATTATGGCAGATAAAGGAGAAGAAAGGAAAATGTTACTTGGTGGTGTGCCAGTATCTTTTGCTTGTTTGTATAAGTCCTAGTTAAGAGATTGCTCTAAAAGATGTCAAAGAATTGTCAAGATTCAATTATTGCAAGTACACTCCTTATAGGATCATTAAAAGTGGTTTGGAAAAGTATTTGCTGATCCATTTTGAACTGTAGCTGATATTCTTGAGGATTTCATCTGTCTTAGGGTGGATAATGAACCAATGTCAGTGGAAATTAGAAATTAGCAAACAGGGAATATTAGAAGCTTTCAATGATTACAAATGGGACATTGAGCAGTAAACATAGAAATAGAACAAAGAAAAGAAATGCCATATCAAAAGACACATATACACTCAGAATTCATGGTAAAGGGAATTATGAGATTTTGTGGGACACTTAATATTTCATTTTTCAAAAAAGTTTAATGGCTCAAAAGTGAATTTTCACCCAGGAATAATGTTCTGGTATATTCATAGTAAAAAAGAAAATTAAAAATTCTTGCTTATTTACCCATTCCTTTTAAAAAAATATATCAAATGTATCCTGTTTTAGATTGGAAAATCTTCTGGCTTTTTTTTTTTTAATTTAGCTATTAATCCATTTGTGTAGAAATTACCTAACAAGACTGTCCTTTGTCTCTATATTATTCAGTAAAGTTTCAAGTCAAATGATAGTAAGTCCACCATAAGAAAATACAGTGGGTAATCTTTCATGTATTCAGGAATCATTTATTGAACACCCCTATATGTGTGTGCCAGGGACTATGCTTAGTGTTAAAGATATAAATAAAAATTAGACACAGCTATACTAAACAACTCAGTGATTGATAGTAAAATTATAAAATAAATAAATAAGGGAGGGAATACAGTTTTAAATGTTACTAGTCAGACTCCTGAGCCACAGGACCATTTCATTGTTTATTATAAATCTGTAATCTGTAGCTCATAGTATATTATATACTACAGGCACAGTGAAGCAAATTATACTACAAATCTAACTTTGGTGTCAGGGAAGAATCGTTAGTAAACTATTACAGAATTAGTCTTTTGATTCTCTGCATTTGGCAAGTTGAGATGTCTGGAGAGAGGTAAATTACTATTCGTTCGTTTCTGACCCTCTCTATTAGATTTCAGTGTGTGAAAATACTAACTAAACTTGTTTTAAATACTAACTTAAGTGTACCCCCTACGATATTTATTGAATATCGATTGGGATAAAAACTCTGATTCTTTCCCATCGGAAACCAGTCTTGCAGATTCATTCACATTTACTAACCTGTTGTAATGAATGCCATGTATTTGGTGGCTTTTTGATGCAAAGTAGCTGTCATGGGATCAAGTGTATTAATGGATTTACACAGTGCCTTAATTCAGTTTCTGATTTCACAAGTATGACCCCTGAGCTGGCTAGCCACAAAGTGCTTATGATTATGAAGGTCAAAGACTTAGTGTAAATAAAGAAAATGTAAATGTTAAACATGTAACTAGTACTCCCAATTATTTTGTTAATTCTGTTGTAATTTGTCATTGTTAACACTGGCTAAACTCATAAGTCAGGTATTGATTTTATAAACTGAAAAACTAAGGACACTAGATAGCATTATAACTGTGGGTATTCATCATGCTGGTAGGTACAGATCTTCACTTCTACCACAGCTATTATTCATGAAAACTCCTTAAACAGTGTATGACCTGTAGGGGACAAAACGAGTTAAAACATCTTATGTAGGTTTACTCAGTTCCCCAGTCTCCTATAACTCACTGCTGTACTCTGCTCATTCTTTTTCAAGATTCTGATGGTATTAAGAGATTGCAAAGGTCAAGTCAGTTTTAAAAAAAAATTCTACTTAATCAAGAATTCTTGAGGGAATTTATGTCTAAAAGTATAATTATGGAGAATATAGCACATGTGCTCTTTGCACAATTAAAGTGATTATTTCTCAGATTTTTTAATGCCCGACTTTAAATCTATGACTAAGAATGAGATTTATGTTTATAGTATTGGATCCAGTCCTGAAGTTTGCTCCATTTTTGTCACTTTATTAAAATGGGATATACAACGAATCCTTTACAATGGTAGATGGTTTTGTATCAAGATCAATCCGACTGTGAACTTCCCACTTCAGCAAAGCATTAAAACATCTAATAACAAGTTTTTCCCATAAACATTTGATGGGTTATCCTGAGGAGGAAATTTGGGGTTTTATACAACTCAGCCTAATTGTCATTTAACAAATGCAAGTGAGATTCATTTTATTAAATATAGCCAGTTATATATAAAATTGAGTCACCTAATTTAAATAGCTTAAACTTGGGGGTTAACAAAAACATTTAATTGGAATGAGCAGAAAATTATCTTGCCTGGAACTGAAGAAATAGAGTAATTTTCTGGTTCCTTTCCTCTGAGATCCTGCATGGTTTATAATTCCGTAAGTAAGGGTGGACCAAATTCATTATGCTGACTCAAGCCATAAATGTTATATTTTTGTCATAAAAATGCATTTCATCTTAAATTGCCTGTTGTTATGTAGTAGCATTAATTAGGAGTAAGTTTCAAATATGACAATTGGATTTCACACTTAGCTGCACTTTTGAATGCAGAACTTAATGTTACTTTACTTTCACATAATAGTGATGCTATTTGGAGTAGGCCCAAGCCAACAAAAGTAGCTAAAATGTAGGGTTCTGTCAAGTCAATCTCTTTGCTTTTTATATCATTGAAGGCAGATATTCTGGTACAAACTGAATTGA